AGAGATGCCACTGCCGTGATACAAAAAATAGAGAAAAACACATAGATCCACCTAGCCCCATTAAGCGGGTGTATGTGTTTTTCTCTGTTTTTGTATTGTGGCAGTGAGCACTGTGCAAGCTGCTGTGGCGGTGGTGTTAGAAGAGCCTCCCTTGTCCTGCTTTTACGTGCCCTGCCTGTTCAGACCGATGGTGCACATGGTGGGAAGGCAGCCTGGCCGTATTGGGTCCCTGCCTTAGGAGTGAAATATGTCCTCGGACCTTCTTTGAAATCTCAGGCTTGCTGGAGGATTTGCTTTGCACATTACAGGGGAAAGAGAAACACAAAATGACTCTGTCCCCTACAAAGCTGAGAAGTGAAACAAGAGACACCAAACCAGAGCCATTTGGGTACAGACTCTAGCCAGCTAGTCAGACCCCCTTTCCTAGTAGAAACTCCCTTTCCATCACAGAAAAAATGGAAAAATATTCCCTGGCCATGCAGCCCTGGATTCAGAGAGCAGCTTTCTAGATGTTAGGGTCACTGTTATAGTCTCAGTCCTTCCTTGTGAGCATGAAATTAAAAAAAAGCACTTTCTGATTGTTAAATAAAAGCCGGGATTCTCACCAAATCCTGTCCCTTCACAAGCCAAGACTGCAGGTAAGACATCGTGGATTGCATGAGTGGTAATGAATTGCAACGAGCTGACAACACAGAGCCTCTGCCTTTAGACTCCCTGTTGCTGCTGCGCTGTTTCAAGGCTTTTCTCACCTGCAGTGAATACAGTTGTGTTTCTTCCCTTGTTAAGGGCTTTGGCCATGGAGCCGGGCAGCATCGATAACTTGTCCATCCTGTACCAGAGCTCCAACTTCATCGTGGTTAACAAGCACTGGGACATCCGCATCGACAGCAAAATGTGGTACGAGAAGCTGACCCTGCAGAGCCAGCTGAAGTACCGCTTCCCTGAGCTTGCCGACCCTGACACCTACTATGGCTTTAGGTGAGTGACCAAGAGCCCTGCGGCTGAGCAGGTCATTTCCTAGGCAGCAGGTGTGCTGGATGTTTCTCCTCCCCAGGTGCAGCACTTTGCATTTTTCCTTGTTAAATCACATTCAATTGTTTTCTACCCATTTGTCCAACCTGTCCAGGTCTGCCTATAATCGTGCCCTGCCCTCCGGTGTGTCCACTGCTCCCCACAGTTTTGTATCATCTGCAAACTTGGACAGAGTCACTCCCTCGTCCAAGTCACCGATTGAAGAGTATCAGTCCAAGGACCGAGCCCTGTGGGACCCCACTGCCCGTGTCCTTCCAGGTCAACGCTGACCCGTCCACTGCCACTCTCTGGGTACAATCCTCTGGCCAATTTGCCACCCACCAGACTCTGTAATCATCCAAGTCACAGCCTCTTAACTTGTTCACCAGCATGGGGTGGGATACCATATCGAAGACCTATACTGTCTCAAAAGCCTTATGTATTGGGGATCCTGCCTTGGTCAGGGAAAAGGACTGGATGAACTATTGAGGTCCCTTCCAGCCTTGCTTGCATCTGATCCTGTTGCCCCCAAACCTTCTCATTATAATGCAAAACCAGAAGGGAGGAAAAAGGCAGTAAAAAGCTAAAATTGCTCCTGAAACCCAGGGCAAACTGCTGGCTCCATCGTAGCCAGACAGTGGGTCTCAGTCAGCCGCAGGGGGCAGGGACCTGGGGTCTGCAGGACTTGTA